GCACTAATTATCTTTTGGATGTCACACTTTTCTGAATTTTGTGATATACATGTCTGCTCTAAACAGAGCCTTTTATATATATATAAAATACATATAGAAATGTATTAAACTGAAATGTAATACTATTTAAATGTGGATCCTGTGATGCATTGTAAATCTGTATTTTATGATACTTATATTGTGTTTATGGTGTTTTATGTTTTAAGGTTGGACATTGCCCTGCATATATGTGTGTGTGTGTGTGTGTGTGTGCGGCGGTATAGAAATACTTTAATTAATAAATAAATGTGGATACATTTGAAAATATATTTAAATACAAATGTTAATATGGATTTTTAAAATTTAAAAATACAGATTAATATTGCAATGGGACGGCAACCTCCAGTATCAACAACTGCTTTATGGTGGCAAGACCTCCCAGAAATGAGTTGCTGTGATCATTAGGTCTGGCACTCCACCAAGTCTGTGCTTTCGCTAATAAAGAGTTAACTCCAACATACGCAGTGTGATTTACTGCTGGCTCACTCCTGACACACACCTCTGACTGGTTGTAGGTAGGAAGGCAGGCAGGTGAAGGCTGGCTGGTGGGGACTGAAGTTGGTGAGACATTCCCCCTAATGGTCAAGCCTCCACTGCTATTTCTGAATGGAGCAGTGGATCACAGAGGATGGAGAATGAGGTGGGCCAGCCAGCGAACCATTGAACCAGCCTAGGGAAATCTAGGATTTCAGCTGTTTAAATGGAAATTATTACAGCAAGACTGGGTGACCACTCTTCCTGCATTAGTCTCAGCAGCAGAAGAAGAAGAAAACAAGCACCAAGGGGTCAGAATTGAGTCCAGTTAAACAATGGTCAAGAGGAAAACACATAATATTTATGTTTAGGGTCATAAATGGACAGCACAGAATACATTAATGTAACTGTGGCATTTGCCAGAACAAAGACTTGTGTCACATAAATAAGATTAAGCGTGTTTTGAAAGTTTATTTGTCTAATGAGAAGAGATTCAACAGCAACAAAAGAAAATAACAAAAGAAAATTAGAAAGAAAAAGAATTAATTGTTTGCTATTCCAGCTCCTTTAACTCAGCAGAAATAAGGAAAAGTCGCCAAATGTCCAATACCTCTTTGCAGCATCTTCCAGACGAGTCAGATTTTCCAGAGAGAAATCTTTCCAAATTTTGGTAAGACATCTGCCTAATATAACTATCATCCTTAGCTGTTATTGTGCTATTCTCTGTCTAACATGTTACAAAATAGAAGTATGATGCATCCAGTTTGATAATGCATTTCACATTTTCCAAAGGGGAATTAATTTCAAGAAGTAACACAGTAATAAATATTATCTGAAGATCAGCAGGATGACTTGTTACTTACAAAGATGCAAAGCCACTTAACTGCAAAATCCTCTCCTTATGTCCACTTTAGACAAACATTAAATCTATCCGGGTTCTTAGATTGGGATTCTTCTATCACTTTCAGGGGGAATTGTATGGTGGGGGGAGGGCATAGATGCCAGCTCGTTGGGGCCCCGGGGACCTGAGCACCCACAAAATTCCCCATGAAAGGGCCGGGCACCCACAAATTTTAGTGCCAGGGCCATGCACACTGCATGGCACCCACGGTCAAACTGGCACCCTTGGGGGAGGGAATGGCTGCCTCCATGTAGAAACCAAGGATAGCCATGCTTTTTCCCTTACAATTCCACCGAAGGATGATGGGACGTCGTCAGGGCTTGTTACTCCCAAGGGAGCTTGTTATATTGTATTCAAGGTGTGCACCAGCAAGGAGAGTCTTCTGTCATGCACTGCTGTATACCACTTTAACCAGGGTGCACATATCAGTGGGAGAACCGAGGCAGGGAGCAGTCACCATTATGAGCAACTAGCTTATATTACCTCAGAACAGAGGGGCTGATGCCTCTTGTCTCCTTTCTGTAGGCCCTGAAACCTTGGGAACGAGTTTTTGGTGAAGTTATTTTGTGTGTGCATTTGAAATGATGTGCGAGGTTCCTCAGAATTAGAACTTTTTGTCTATCTGTGGTGTTTTTGTTGTTAAAAGGGCCTGTAATTATTTTCCTGACACCTATCTGACATTCACAGTGGAAGCTGAGAAGAAGAAGAGTTTGGATTTGATATCCCGCTTTATCACTACCCGAAGGAGTCTCATAGCGGCAAACATTCTCCTTGCCCCTTCTCCCCTACAACAAACACTCTGTGAGGTGAGTTAGGCTGAGAGACTTCAAGAAGTGTGACTAGCCCAAGGTCACCCAGCAGCTGCATGTGGAGGAGCGGAGACGCGAACCTGGTTCACCAGATTACGAGTCTACCGTTCTTAACCACTACACCACACTGGCTCTTTCTGAGGTAGAGGAGATGCCAACCCAACCTGCCCATGAGGCAGGCTGAAGCTGTCGCCTCAGGTGATCGGACCCCAAGAGGCAACATCCCTGAGGGCAACCCACTTGCCCCATCACCTCCACCACTGCCAGAGAAGTGGAGAAGCGGCGGCAGTAGTTTCCAATGAGCTTTCACAAGTTCACCAGAACCTGCCACTACAACTTCATGGGCACTGCCGTGTGACTCAGGTAAAGGAGGCTTCAGCGAGGGGGGGGGCTTTGGTGTTTGTGGTGCTTTGGGCATAAAAACTGGATGGGCCTCCTCTGAGGAGAAAACACAGCCAGATCCAACAAGGTCCAGTTTAAGAGACAAGTTGTGTGGCTATGGCTAAGAACAAAGGCCAGTGGGAGAACAGTGCTCATCATGTTCTAATTCAATTTTTGTGACGGTGATTTAATTTGCGTTGTGTATAGCTATCCTTGTAAATGTGGATAAAACACTGTGAACGGTTTATGTTGAAGCATTATATGGCGCTGCCTTTTTTGTGGTGGATAGAGCGGATAAGATCAACAGTGGGTCCAACGGTCAAGAAAGTGGTTTCAGCATGTGCCATTGAGGGATATAAGTGGCAGGTGGGTCTTTTCAACCTAGGAACATATCTCATCCAGGAGAAGGAAAACTTTGATCCTAAACTTCTACTGCCTTGCGGCTATACCCATTTAATTTGCGCATATATATAGTTCAATCTCTGATATCTTCAGGTAGAGTTGGGAAAATCTCTGCCTGAACTCTTGGAGAACTACTGCAAGCCAGTGTAGACAACCCAACCTTAGTCTGGTGTCCTCCAGATATTTTGAACTTCAACTCTTATCAGCCCCAGACAGCATAGTCAGAGATGATGGGATTTGTAGCTCAAACCATGTGGAGGGCACCAAGTTGAGGAAGGCTGCTGCAGACGATTCTGAGCTAGAAAGACTGATGATCTGAATTGGTACAAGGCAACTTCCTCTGTTCTTTCCTATATCCCTATGTTCACACAGGCTATCGTGATGCTATCAGCTGTCACTATAAACATTATTTTGTGCATTGGTGATTTGTTTTCATTTTTAGTTGGCACAGCAACATTTCGAATGGGACCTTCCAGTGTTAATATCCTGATCTTTCCACTAATGAAACAATAGCTTTCAAAGTGTTGGTGCTGATCTTTAAAGCCCTAAACGGCCTCAGTCCAGTATATCTGAAGGAGCATCTCCACCCCCATCATTCTACCCGGACACTGCTGAGGGCCTTCTGGCAGTTCCCTCACTGTGAGAAACCAGGTTACAGGGAACCAGGCAGAGGGCCTTCTCGGTAGTGGCACCCGCCCTGTGGAATGCCCTCCCACCAGATGTCAAAGAGAACAACAACTACCAGACTTTTAGAAGACATCTGAAGGCAGCCCTGCTTAGGGAAGCTTTTAATGTTTGATGCATTACTGTATTTTAATATTTTGTTGGAAGCTGCCCAGAGTGGCTGGGGAAGCCCAGCCAGATGGGAGGGGTATAAATAATAAATTATTATTATTATTATTATTATTATTATTAAGCTTATAGAGTAACTTCTAGTAGCTGAATGCATTTCAGCATGCTTCTTTTCCAAATGTACCAGCTCTTCCAGTCCCATTGAAGCTTGTGTGGAACACTTCCCTGGAAATAAAATAAAATCAGAGCGGGTGACAGATGAAATGGCTTACTCTTGAAAACATTAATAATACGCAATATTGGAAATAGAACCAAAAGATATTATTAATGGCTCGAGTTTGTTGCCATGAAGTGAAGCCGGAGACAAACATTAATTATGTTTCCCCAAGTAATTCCATTTTTGTACTTCTCATTTACTTCCCGTCTGATTTATTCATGTTTGTTTTATATTTATGAGAAAAGGGCTGTTCAGAGGATCTCTGGCTATACAACCCAGAATGTCAAGGCATGTGAAGGTCTTCATGTCAGGTGCCAAGCCAAATAGTCGGAAACTGATTTGTGGCCAAAGGTGGGTGCCAGTAGTAAGGTACTGGCATTGGGTAGTTGCAGCCTGATCTATCAGTGTTTTCCTGAGAAGGAAGCTCTGACTTGCCAATCAGAAGGTCGGCGGTTCGAATCCCCAAGACGGGGTGAGCTCCCATTGTTCGGTCCCTGCTCCTGCCAACCTAGCAGTTCGAAAGCACATCAAAGTGCAAGTAGATAAATAGCTACTGCTCCGGCGGCAAGGTAAACGGCATTTCCGTGCGCTGCTCTGGTTCACCAGAAGTGGCTTAGTCATGCTGGCCACATGACCCAGAAGCTGTACGCCAGCTCCCTCGGCCAGTAAAGCGAGATGAGTGCCGCAACCCCAGAGTCGGCCATGACTGGACCTAATGGTCAGGGGTCCCTTTACCTTTAAGCTCCATTCATTCTGATATCCTGTTGAAATGGTCCTGCATAGAGAAGGGTCTCGCTTAGTGAATGGGAATGACACCAGTCATTCTGCCTCACGTGCAGATGGCTCTAGCTTCAATCACGGGCAAGTGCAGTTGAACAAATCATAGGAGAGCTCAGAAATACCACTGCTTGGATCCAATTGCTCTCACTCGCTGTTGCCCTCCTCCGCTGCTTATATTCAGTAGGATAGATACCATGAGGATCGGGCCATAGCTCAGTGATACAGTGTCTGCTTTTAATGCAAGAGGTTCCAGGTCCAATCCCTGATGTCTCCTTAAAACCTTGGAGAGTGGCTGCCTGTCAAAGACTGCATCTGCACTTTAAAGCAGTATCATGCCACTTTAAAGATCACTGGATTCCTCCAAAGCATCCTGGGAACTGTAGCTTATCAAGAGTGCTAAGTGGTGTTAAAGGTAAAGGGGACACCTGACCATTAAGTCCAGTTGTGACCGACTCTGGGGTTGCGGTGCTCATCTCGCTTTATTGGCTGAGGGAGCCAGGATACAGCTTCCGGGCCATGTGGCCAGCATGACTAAGCCGCTTCTGGTGAACCAGAGCAGCTCACAGAAACGCTGTTTACCTTCCCGCCAGAGTGGTACCTATTTATCTACTTGTACTTTGACGTGCTTTCAAACTGCTAGGTTGGCAGGAGCAGGGACCGAGCAATGGGAGCTCACCCCGCCGCGGGGATTCGAACCGCCGACCTTCTGATCGGCAAGTCCTAGGCTCTGTGGTTTAACCCGCAGCGTCAACCGCATCCCTAAAGTCCTTAAAGTTGTGTTAGGGGACCTACAATCTCCAGAGTTCCCTGAGAAGAGGGATTGATTTTAACTGTGTGAAGGTTGGCCTAACAACTCTTACCACCCTTAAGAAACTACAGCTCCCAGGATTCTTTGGGAAGCCATTGCTATTTAAAGCTTTAAATGTATAGCGCAGATGGGACTAGAGTGCTGTGTTTTGAGTGTTTGATGTTGTATTGTGTTTTTCCCCCCTATTTTTTGTTGGGAGCCACCCAGAGTGGCTGGGGCAACCCAGTGATATGGGTGGCATTGAAATATTATTATTATTATTATTATTATTATTATTATTAATTACTGTTTAACTGTGCTAAATGTAGTAATGGCCTTCTGCCCCTTTGCACAAGGAGAGAGAGAGAGAGAGAACAATTACCTTTGGATTGGCTGGAAGGAAGAGAGAAAGACCCGTATCCCTGTCATCTACCACAAGTTGACTTCTCACATCGATAGCGGTCACCACCCTGTTAGTTTTTTAATACATTTCAATATAATGGTCCATGATATCAGGAGGAATGCAACCACACTGAATCTGAAAGTTTTGCAGCAACTTGGATCCTCCTCCAGAAAATATTCTGGGAAATATATTTTGAGTTAGAAGGTTATAATTTCAATTTGTATATTGTCCTATTTATAAGGCAGGGAATGACAAGGCTCCTAGCATCTTTCCTGATCAAGTACCACAATAGAACAACAAAAAACAGTGTCAGGTTGGGTGAATGGGACATTATATTCCAACCCCACGTATGTATGTAAAAGGTAAAACTAATATCAGTGTACTGGAAGAAGCAAAGATCACCAGTTTTAAAGCAATGATTCTTCAACACCAGCTTCGTTGGACTGGTCATGTTGTGTTGACACCTGATTATCGTCTTCCAAAGTGACTACTCTATTCCGAACTTAAAAATGGAAAGCATAATGCTGGTGGTCAACAAAAGAGGTTTAAAGACTGTCTCAAGGCAAATCTTAAAAAATGTAGTATAAACACTGACAACTGGGAAACACTTGCCTGCAAGTGCTCCAATTGGAGAACAGCCTTTTACCAAAGGTGTCATGGGCTTTGAAGACACTCAAACTCAGGACACAAGTGAAAAACATGCTAAGAGGAAGACACGCTTGGTAAATCCACACCGTGATCAACTCCTGCCTGGAAACCAATGTCCCCACTGTGGAAGGACATGTGGTTCCAGAATTGGCCTCCATAGTCACTTGCGGACTCATTGTTAAAACCGTGTTTATGGAAGACAATCTTACTCGGCTACGAGTGATCGCCAAAGAAGAAGAATGTATCTAAAATAAGACAGAATGAAACTACAAGTTCCGCTGAAGGTCTTTGCTAGTAGTACAATTAGTTTTGGAACCCTGCTTTTGCTGGGGAACGGTGGGGAGAAGCAATTGTAAATTGAGAAAGAAGCCCAAGAGAGAAGGGGGAAAGCAAATGAATATGGGCCTCTAGATGAGCTTTCTTCAGTTGTCTTCCTGGCTTCCTCCCTCTCTCTCCGCCTCCAGCTTTTCAACCGGGGCACCCGCCTAGGCGGCGGCTCTCAAACAGCAATGACAATTCTGGCAGTTCCCATTCTTTCCTTTAGCACAATGCCAGGAAGGCAACTATTCAGAAGTCTGAAGATGTGTCTCTGCACAACAGCTCCATTATACGATTAATAGCACAATCATATACAGGAGGTTAGTCCAACTGTGTTCAGCAGGACTTACGCTGAGGTAGGGATGGGGAAGAAATTCGATTTTGTTTGCATTTCAATGAAAAGCGAGCTAATCTGCACTTCTCAGACCAACGTATGAAATGAAACACAGCTACCCTTTGAAAAACACACTTCGCTGAATCTTGCGATGCAGCTCCCCAAGCAGCCAATGTGTACAAAAATGAATATCAGAGGGGAAAGTGTGTGTATAAATGCAAATGTTAGTGAAAATAACATGCATTGTCTCAGGGGAAATTGTGTATTGGAATCAAAACTGCATAACCAAAATGTGGCCATTAAGAGAGATTCTCACTAAAATGCCAACAATTTTTCATGAGGATCTTTTTATAAAAAAATAAAAACACTCAAATTTCTGCAGAAATGTGGAGAACTGAATTTAAGATTATAAAGATGAGAAAATGACAGGAACCAAATTTGATAGATTCCTCTGTCCATCCTTCTAGGGATGCATAGGATTCTAGCCTAATATTGGAATCCAATACCCACTTTTCTAGGGGTTCATCTAAGTTGACATGTATAAGATTGTGCTGTAGTCCAAAATTCACTTTTTTTGAAGTAATCCCCATTCAGCACAGATTTTACTTCTGAGTAAGATAAAAAGGAAGGGGCTTAGCAAAGAAGCTCCTTAATTAAGAACATTTAAATCCAGGCACTGACCTGGCTGGGTCTCATTCTTAATATGGTGGGGGAACAGGCAGATGCTGTGCTCCTCCCAAAGATTAAATATAATCTCTGAAGCGGGCACTTCGACAGGGTCTACCCAGGGTCTCTATTATAGGATTCTCCCCCACTTTTTTTTTAAGGGAGAAGAATCACAAACACCAGGTGTCTGGACATTAAAGACTCTGCATGTAGTTTCCACTTCACACCTTACCAATCTGGAGCAGCCAATGTGGACTACAACTCCCATCATCTCTGACTGTGTTAGCTGGGGCTGATGGGAATTGTAGTCCAACAACATCTGGAGAGCACCACTTTGGCTACCCCCTGTTTTAGAAGCAAAGGGTAGAGAAGCGAGACCTATCTTTGCCACACAAAGATGGATGCCAGTGAGCCAGGGAGTTTGTTGTATGCTTCCATGCAACAAACCAGGTGAGTCTGCAGTTGGTTGCATTGCACAGTCATGCCTTCTTAAAACACAGCTCTCTTCTAAAGGAATTCCTTCCTGAATTGTTATTTTGGTTGTGCAGAAAAGGAAAGAGACAGGCAAGCCTTTGGTACATGTAAGTGAAAACATTGCCAAGGCTGAGTAAGCCCCAGAGCAGTAGATATTGTGGATTTCACACTTCCCTTCTGCCATGCTTTCCCAGTGTCCTAACAGGAATGTATCCAGCAGCAAGAACAATGGTTTTGCAAAAAACAGAAAGAAAGAGAACAAGGAATAGCAACAGAACACTGTGTGCATTTGGACACATTTTTTGCATAGCCCATAAATTTCTTCCATCCCTTCCATCCATCATGACATTAGGTTCAAAATATTCAAATACAGTACAGGTTACAGTTGTTCCTTCTCTTCCCTTGGAAAGCTGCCATTTCAAGATATTTATGAAACTTTTTGTGTGCCATCATTCCATTCCTCCTGCCCAATGGTTGAGATAAACGATGCAATCACTGCCTCTGAAATTTCTGCTCTGGAATTCAGTCAAATGTGCCTTGAAACCATAGTTGTTTCCTGAAACCAACCCACGGGTGAGTGGAGATGGGATGGAGCCAGTCTTTCAAATATTTTGGGCCTAAGCCATTCAGGGCAATAAACACTCATGTGAGTCCCTAGAATTGGGTCTAGAAGCATGTATATAGCAGCAGTGTGGATGAACTCTGTGTGGAGTCCAAATAACAAGGCGATTAGTGGGCCTTTTCCACCATCCCAACTTGAAGCATATTGTGAATTACCCCACCAAAAGCAATGGCAAACCTAGACAGCATCTTAAAAAGCAGAGACATCACCTTGCCAACAAAGGTCCGTATAGTGAAAGCTATGGTTTCCCCAGTAGTGATGTATGGAAGTGAGAGCTGGACCATAAAGAAGGCTGATCGCCGAAGAATTGATGCTTCTGAATTATGGTGCTGGAGGAGACTCTTGAGAGTCCCATGGACTGCAAGAAGATCAAACCTATCCATTCTTAAGGAAATCAGCCCTGAGTGCTCATTGGAAGAACAGATGCTGAAGCTGTGATTCCAATACTTTGGCCACCTCATGAGAAGAGAAGACTCCCTGGAAAAGACCCTGATGTTGGGAAAGATGGAGGGCACAAGGAGAAGGGGACGACAGAGGATGAGATGGTTGGATAGCATGAGTTTGACCAAACTGCGGGAGGCAGTGGAAGACAGGAGTGCCTGGCGTGCTCTGGTCTACGGGGTCACGAAGAGTCGGACACGACTAAACAACAACATGCTCCAAGTCAGATCAGGGCCCTCCACTAAGCCTCATGTTGCTCTGCTTTTTCTGTCCTTTTCAGTCCATATATATCTCTGTGTTCCCTAAGTCAATGCCTTTTACAAGAAGTGAGGCTGTCCATAACAGTGCCTGTGGAGCAGCGAAGAGGTCAGGACTGTTGTTTCTTCAAGCACCGAGGAGGAGTTAAAACAAAAGTGAAACACTTCATTTAATGGTTTAAATATATATACAGTGGTACCTCTGGTTGCGAACGGCATCCATTCTGGAGGCCCATTCGCAACATGAAAAGAGCGCAACATGAACATGAAAGCGCAACATGAAGCGCTGTATCGGCGCAGGTGTGCGGTGCGATTTGGCCCTTG